TCTTCTTCTGCCTCTTCCTCCTTACTGGGTCGATTCCTGATTCTCATTGCTACAATAGGCCGGAATAATGGAAGAGATGCTCGACGAAACATTAGAGGGACTAGATGAAGACCCAGAATTGGAGGAAGAGGCAGAAGAAGAGGTCGACAAGGTTCTCTACGAAATCACAGACGGCAAACTAGGAGTAGCAGGCGCTGGAAAGGAGCTTCCTGTACGTGTTCTATCTTTCGCTTTGCCATTGCTATTAATTGGAAGCTACAGAGCCTTAATGACCAAGAGGAGGAAGTCAACGACCAGGAAATGGCCCGAATGCAAGAGAAATTAAACAGTTTACTCAGCGGATAGATTCTATTTAACTTTTATGTATCTTATCTCGGATTCCCTTTCCATGTACAATTTATTGGGTTCCAGCCTCACGTTCATTACCGACGTCGAAAAGTCTACTCGGCTAAATGGGAGAACTTGAACTCGGCCATATCTACGGCTCTGAATATAACCTTCATGCTTGCTACTCGTCCATTTGCCAACCTTACTAGGGGTGTCCTACACCAGGTACTTTTTTAGCTGTCATACTAGTTTTACTGTTTGCTAATCATGTTTAGGCGTCCCGGCGAGGGTACGCTGCTGCAGCCTCCACAGCTGCTTTTGCAGGAAAGAAGGATTCAAATGTATGGATTCGAGAAACTGAATGCGGTGAATGCTAACTTTGCCAGGGAAAGTACACAGTGACGTTGATATCGGGAGACGGTTTGTGTTTGCATGCATTCCTCGTGTTGTCAAGCTCAAATTTGGACTAAAAGGGATCGGTCCTGAAATCAGCCAGTCTGTAAAAGACATTTACACGGCCGCTAAGGTTTATCATTCGCAATTGCTGTCATCCGACGCTAACACCAAAATTTGCGGCGCAGGTTCCCATCCAATGGGAAGAAGTAGATGTCACCCCAATTCTTGTCAATGGAAAAACAGCTATCCCGAAGGAAGCCATTGACTCTGTAAAGAGGAACACCGTCGCTTTGAAAGGTACTTTTTGTTCATGACCATTGCGGAGCCCATGCTCACAGAAACTACAGGGCCACTGGCAACTCCAAGTATGTCCTTCAAGCAGCTAAAGCGACTTAGAACTTATTCCTTGTAGTTGGAAAGGGCCATGTTTCCTTGAATCTTACCCTCCGCAGGACATTTAACCTCTTCGCTAATGTTCGACCGTGTTTGTCCATCCCTGGTTTCAAGACCGCTTACGATAATGTCAACACCGTACTTATTCGCGAGAACACAGAAGGAGAGTATTCGGGTATCGAGCACGAGGTCGTCGATGGAGTAGTCCAATCCATTAAACTCATCACATGGGATGCTTCTGAACGTGTGGCGAGATACGCTTTCAACTACGCACAAAGTCAAAATCGCAACAGGGTCACGGCTGTACACAAAGCCAATATCATGTAAGCGTTTCGCCGTAAATTTAGGCTGTTTTCTCTGAACAGGTCAATTCTCCAGGAAAATGTCGGATGGCATGTTCTTGAGCGCTTGCCGACAGGTTGCGAAAGAATACCCTAATATTAAGTACGACGAAGACTTATTGGATCGAGTCTGCCTTCAAGTAAGTTTGTGCGTTTCTCTTTATCACTGACTAATAGACCCTCTAGGTTGTCACAAACCCCGGCCCTTTCTCTGATCGAGTGATGGTCATGCCTAACCTCTATGGAGATATTCTATCTGACATGTGTGCCGGTCTCATCGGAGGCCTTGGCTTGACCCCTTCAGGCAATATTGGCAAGGTGAGTACCATGATACTGTTCGCGGACTTCACTTATATAGTTTGGAATAGGATGCTTCGATCTTTGAAGCCGTTCACGGATCTGCTCCTGATATTGCCGGTAAAGGTTTGGCCAACCCGACAGCCCTTCTTCTGTCATCCATCATGATGTTAAGGCATATGAACCTCGGTGACTACGCATCCAGGATTGAAAAGGCCGCCCTTGATGTGAGTAATCCTATAATAAATGCATTCCCGCTGTTCCCTAAGCCTGGCTCTACAGACTATCGCAGAAGGCAAGGCCATCACAGGTGATTTAGGAGGAAAGGCATCTACAAAGGAATACACAGCTGCCATCATTTCGAAGCTGTGAAAGCCGCGTCCATACCTTATGCGTTTCCCTTAGAGATCTCTCGTTCATTCATTTGACTATTATGCACTATATGGATCGAACTCTCGTTCTGACACCTTGTCTATGACCTATTGAATAGAAGGATAAAGCATGCCCTATAACAGTTATTAATGAGC